ATAATATATACAAAATTTGATCAATTGACTTGATATATAGGATGGAAAGTTAGTGCAATCAAATAAAGAAAGCTACAAGATGAAGACGGTGTAACTTCGTTCACTCATGCTACATTTTGAAAAAAACATCGTGCCTGTTTGGCACCCCTTTTTTTTTGTGATTTTTGAGGCAACTTCTCATTTTTCTACATAACTGTCAGAGAACACAGTCAACATTTGAATACCCGTCAGATTTGTGCACAGAATCATAATTCCGTTGAAATATTGGACTAATTTGCCCTTTATTTTTAGCAAAATTTTTTGAGACATTAGGAAATGAAAAAAACAATTAGAAGGGCAAAAATGAAAATCTCATTTTTTGGATAATTGAAATGAACCGGCAAAACTGTGATGAGTCAGTTCCACATTCCTACTTTTCTAACTTTGGGCCCACAATTGTTGGAAATTGACAGGAAAACTCTAAAAGTTACTGTAGAAAAATAGGGAGTTACCTCAAAAATCACAAAAAAGGGGTGCCAAACAAGCACATATCATAAGATTTTACATAAATTCCTGCTCTAGTAAATAGCAATAAGAAATGCATCAATGCTATGATAATAGACTTGAACAAAACTGATAGAAGATGTTGATGACCATCACAGAACAACATTCCAACAAATGCATACGTGGTATCAAATGTTCGAACTCCTTAGATGCTTGCCTATTCCTATTATCTGTCCAGAAAATATTCTTCAACCGTGACTCGTCGTCTAAATCCATACTAAAGTAAAAACCTGAGCACCTTGCTTGCATGTTTGAAAAGTAAGCTTGTATTGTTGCGACATCTCCTTCTCTGAGTCTTATCCGCCTCACTTGTTCAACATAGTTTCGACAATTTTTTTCCATATAAGTCATATTTCCATACACCCATGCTTCTACGATTGCAGAGTTGTAACATGTGCACACATATAGTTTCGACAAAATCCCTGCCATATCGTTTACTTTAAGCCGTCGTTTAACATGTGCACACAATTTTCGGTTGCAACGATACAACTTGGACTTCGAAAGACTTGTTTTATGATTGTGAATGAGATTGATTGTGTTAATTCTCTATATTCTATATGCATCTGCAGAAGCAGTCAACCTGACTTTACAACCTGGCTGAATGGTAGCTTGCGGGTTCAAAGAACAGCTTGTATTACTACTTCTTGAGCCTTCACTTCTACATGTAAACACATCTCACAATTCCATAATCATCCTTTTACGAATTTCTTTTTTCCTAACTGGAAAACCTATGTCCTACGTATATTTTTTGTAAAAATCTAACATTTATTTTTCATCGTTGAACTCTATACCCACCTGAGACACAACCACACCATCTACTCGTACAATTCCATCATCCACTAAGTTCACACTGTTCAAAATGTTGTCATTATCGGACTCTAACAAAATATCGTCATCCACCTCTTTCAAAATTCCATTCGCTTCGATAAAAAATCAATTACAACGTTACAACTAATTCAGGAAACAAATATTGAATTGATACATGGTAATGCTTCAATCTATACAATTGTTACTAGTTAATCATTCTATCACTTATTTATAAAACTCAAATGAACCTCCCTCCACATAATACAGGGTCAATAAACAACATCTAACAGCCCCCCGGGGCACATCCAAGTTGGCAAAGGATGGGCACTGCTGGGCTTGCAACCTCAGGGTGGGGAGTTCGATTCCTGGATGGAGCAGCTGAGCGTTGTAATACTCAATTTGGGTGGAGTAGCTTGGTGATGTAATATCCATGGAGGAAGGCTCCCTTGGGGCCAGGAGTATAAAGGGTGCACAGACCCTGGTCAATTTGGGCATATCCCGCGATTAACCTCCACCCATCACTGAGGGGCCGGGGATGGGTGGTCCAGGATATAGTCTAGTGTAAGTTAGGATACCTGGATATCAAAAAAAAAAAAATAATAAATAAACAACATCTAACTAAATATAAAAGAAGGGGTTTTAAGTTACTGTTCATAAGCCATTCAAGCCGAGCCGTTTTCGTTAGCCGAGCCGTGTTCATATTCTAATTACCAGAAAGAGGGAGTTTTGAGTTACTGTTCATAAATCATTCAAGTCAAGCCGTTTTCGTTTGCCAAGCCATGTTCATATTCTAATTTCCAGAATTACCTTTGTATTTATTTACTGCACATACATTTCCTTCTTTGTTGTAATTGAGGGTAAGTTGGGTATATGCTAATTAATGAAACAATTTTTTTGAACTTCAATATCTTAAGACTAATTTATCCGAATTAACTTTTTCTCGAACCTAATTTACATGACTAATTACGAGCTATCCAACAAGTACCATATTGATATATTTATCATCACTCTATCAAAATTCAAATATTTGACCCAAAAAGATAAGAATTTAAAACGTACTTCGCTTTCGTCCCTCAATTTTCAAAATAATAAAATTTAATATATAGAATAAATAAATTTTTATTCTAAAACAATTCTGTCGTTATCATTATCATTACACTGCAAAAGTAAAAAGGAGACGATTCCTTGCTCCACTTATCGATGTCAGCATTCAATGCACATTTATGCTTATGCATTTATGCATTCTCCAGATCTTTAAATTGTCGACGGGCTTTGAACTTTTTTCCCAAGCACTAATGATCTAAGATGAGTGATAGAATGTTTTCTAAATAAATGTACTATATAATTAGTATAAGAAGTTACAGAAGAGAAGGAAAGTGGAATTCAAAGCTATCACATCTATGTTCCATCTTAAAAGTTTGGTCTTGATGAATGATTTTTGCTATAGTGATTCTTGTTACGAAAGTAATTTTTTATTCAAATTTTGGGTTTATTATTCATCCGAATAATTTGATCATAACATCTATATTTGGTCATAATTTGTTTGCTTGAGTCTTAACATGAAAAATAGATTTCATAGGTTATGAAAATGAGGTAATTGTTTATGTTCTCAGTCCACCAGACCCGACTTCCAACAACTCTATTTGTCGTATTAGATTTTGTTTATTGTACGTATAAACATGTGAAAATTCATGTATCCAAGTATGCCATGAAACAACTCTGTTGATTACTTTAGATTATCACCAACAATATAAATACCTGTGGACACACAATTTTTATAATCCAATACAATATTTGTTCAAAACAAGTTTCATTTCTCAATGAAATCCGATAAAACCGAAATTCAACATTATTAGTTACATTACATAACTCATTACATGTGCAACGCACGTGCATTCACTAGTATAATAAAAAGCATGAACTTAAGGGAACAAAATTATGTGTATAAAATTTTTCCCTCCTCTATATATGAACCTCATATCTAATTAAGGGAACAAAGATATCTACATGAAATTTATTCCTGCAAAACATGGATTCGTAAATGGGTTGACAAATTTTCTGTAAAACGTGGATTCGAAAATGGGTTTGCTATTTTTTCAGCACATTCACATCTGAAATAATATAGTATCTAGCTTGCAATTTGACGTCACCCGCATTTTCACATTAAAATGAGGAAAGGAAATACCTTTGTCCGTCATCTCTTCGAATCCATGAAGATTCCGACTTTTTGTTTGCTTTCAGAATGAACCCGCTTCCTCGTCCAATAAGTGAGCTTTGGCGTATCAGATTTTTCGCCGTTGGATAGCTTCTACCAAAACACCGGCAATAGAATCTGGGATGGGCTATTGTTTCAATATTTCGGGCTGAGACAAACACGCGGGCAATAGACCTCAATTTTGAATCACCAAGTATTATTTTTCATCTCTACTTCGGCGGGGTTCGGAGGTCAAAAGCAAGATTGGTAAAAAATTAATACAATAGAAAAGAAGTATATTTCAAAAAATATATATAATCGAAAAGTTTAAAACTTAAAACGGAGATATTTTCCAGTTTTTGAAAGAAAACTAAGCCCTGTTTGATTGTTAATGTCACATTCGAGAAAAACGAATTCCACTTTAGCTGTTTGATTGCAACGTGAAAACGAAAATCGAATTTCAAGGTACAATCACTTTAAGTTGCATTTTCTTTGTTTTCATGGAAAACAAATTCTTATAAATTTGATGGGTTTTTATTTTCCAACTAAGGGTCCGTTTGATAGCAAAAGTGAAATTTAAGTGGAAAGAAAATAAATTTCAGGGAATTAAATTGCCTAAAACTTGTTTTACTGAAAATTGTCAATTAATTGTGTTTGATTGGTATAATTTTCCACCTGAAAAATATTGAATCTTTTGGTGTTCGTTCGACTTTGTTTTTCATGAAAATTGTCCATTAAAGAGACATAATTTGTTTCAATTGCCCAAAAAAAAAAAATTTAGAAAACCAAAAACCACTAAACCCATGGGAAAAACCAATTCAAGAAAAATGTGGAAAATGGGTATAAGTTGGAAAATAAATTGCCTAGAATATTTTTCCTTTCGAACAGCCTAAAATGTGGAAAATGAAAAATAATTTCCAACTTCCATAAAAAATTCTTTCTATCAAACAAGGCCTAAGAGTAACCTTATCATCCCTTATTTTTCAGATGAGCTATACTTTTTTGACACGTGCGTAGAGGCAAACATTAATCATTTGTTTAAATTCCGTGCCCAAGTTTCCCTCTTACACTCCACTATCCATGTATATATTTCAATGTCTTTTATGTGGAAGAAAGTAAATGAAAGAGCATATTTTACGTAGCAAAAGGTTAAGGGACGAATACGAAAGCTTGTCGCAAGTGTTGTTTTTTATACGAGGGGAGGGATTCATGTGCAGCGCAACCTGTTTTTTGTCCCAACCTTGTATTAAACAAAGATGAATGGGCACACCATGTAATTAGCTCAAGAAAAATTGTTAATTTAAACAGGCAAATCGATAATTCGACTAGCACACTAGAGAAAACAAATGCATTGTCCCTCAGACATTCAGCATATATTATGTTCTCAAGAAAAATGGGAGAATATGCATGTCAGCATGGCAATGAGTTTAAGGAGGCGACTCCTTTGCCCTCTAGCTCAGGAATCTCTCTGTATCATGTGTAGGAGGTTTTGGACAATCTCAGACATTGGTGGCCTGAATTCTGGCTCGTGCTGTCGAGCAAAAGGAAGACATATAAATGAACAAGCTCTTCCTTCTTTGAGAAATTCTGCAACTCATTTATGCATCAAATTTACAGCTAAACACACTTAACATGCTAAATAAGTCTTGGATATTTTATACAAAAACTTTTCGATTTCATTCTTAATAATTAAGCCCCTGTTTGACATCCATTAAAATGAGTTTCTTGGGGAAAATGAGTTTTTGAATAGTAATTTTTTGAAGAATATTTTGTTAAAAAGTAAGAAAAAGTTATGGATTTACATGCAAAATATTTTATTGTGTGAATATGTGGTTGAAATGAGTTTGAGAAAAAAAAATTGATTTAATGGATGTCAAATAGGGGCTAAATCTGAAGCAGCTAAAAAGTCTAATCCATTATAATGATTTTAAGGCAAGTTCTGCTTCAGTATGAATTACCATTCATTAGAAATGCACCAAATTTCCTAAATGAACGAGGGAAAAAAATAAAACTAAGGAAAATCAATCTTCTCTTAGATTTCTTTCTGAACTTCTACATTGATTTATTATTGTCAGTTAGGCCACTTTAATTATTTCTTCTCTTTTCTATTACTGAAGTGTTTTTTTGAATGCATATGATTAGCTAATTCTTATAAAGACATAATGGAGGTTCTGCATTGTTGAGCAAATAGAGTCGTGGTGGCTATCAAGTTCCTTAGTTTGAAGTGGAATCCACGTCTTTTGTGGTCAAGAATGAATGCTGCATTTTTTATGACACAAGCACTTGCAGGAGGTAAGGAGGGGGAGGGGCACTCCACAGGTGTGGTGGTGGTGGAGGGTGACTGTCATGGTTTCCATTGGGGTGTATGGGCACCTAATCCGATGTTTAGGCCGAAGATGTGGGCTTTATAACCCTTTGGGCACTCTCCCCTTAATAGCTAGCTTTTAAGGATGAGTTCTACCCAAGGGGTTGTGACATTGGTATCAGAGCAGGCACCACGAAGGCATTCCAGTGTTTGTCCGGGACTAGTCAACGGCTAGTGCACAGCCATGTCTTCCGACCCGAGGAAAGCTTAGGGTGTCCATACACCTGTTCGACGTGGACGTCAAGTCAAAAGCGTGATGGTTTGTTGTGGTTTCCATTGGGGTGTATGGGCACCTAATAGTTCGCTTTTGAGGATGAGTTCTACCCAAGGGGTTGGAGTTGAGGTTTAACGGATTGCAAGGGGAGGTGGGGGTAATGAAATCAGAATTACAGAGAGACCTTGCGGTGATGATGGAGAAATTTGATCTAGTAATGACAAAGTGGGGCGAACAGGAGAAGGAGAGGAAGGAGAAGGAAAGTTCATCTGAATCGGCAGCAGCGACCTTGGGTTCGGAAGCTCTGAACAAATCTCATGAGTTAGGCGGAATTCATGGGGATCGAACACGGCATGAGAAGAATGCTAGAGTGGACAACCGAATCCGCCGGCTGGAAATGCCGATCTTCAATGGAGAGGCGCCGGACGCTTGGATTTTTCGAGCGGAGCGGTATTTCGGTATTAATCAACTCGCCAATTTGGAGAAAATCGAAGCAAGCAGCTGCTGTTTGTTTTGAAGGGGAGGCGTTGGCTTGGTATCAGTGGGAAAATGGCTGTCAACCATTAATGCGTTGGGAGGACCTTAAAATGTTAATGTTGCACGATTCAATGTTGGAGGGGAATTTCATCAATGGGCTGGATCCAATTATTAGGGCTGAGGTTAGAATGATCAGGCCGCAGGGGTTAGGCCAAATTATGGACTGAAACGAATCACTTAAACGGGCCATGACTGTTGGTGGCCCATTCCGATATAAAACAAACAATTCCACTTTACCCAAGCCCAAATTACATGGGATTATATCCTAAGGCCACTAATCAAATGCCCCAAACAGTACAGCCAGGCGGGTGCAACGAGACTCCCTGTCCTTGCGAATCAGCGACCGGCAAGGATGGAGAGAGACACGACTTGCAGCTCAAGAGGGAGAAAGGCTTGTGCTACCGCTGCAATGAGAGGTTTGTTTCGGGTCATCAGTGCAAAAACCGAGAGCTGCAAGTGCTTTTGGTGCGAGAAGATGAAATTGAGGAATCCGTGGAGGAGACCGACGTGGAAGAAGGTGAGGTCATGGTATGAAAAAACCCTGCTGAGGCCCGCCTCACTGTGAGGCGCAGAAGCGGCTCAATCTGTGAGGCAAAAAAATGAGGCGCACGCCTCTACATCTGAGGCAAAAAAAATGAGGCGTGCGCCTCATTTGAAGTACGTTTTTTTTCAGGTTTTTGAAAAGGAATTAAAAAAGGCCCTCTTTAAAAAAGAGAAGGGCCCATTTAAAAAGGCATTTTGGGCCAAACAAAATATTAAAATATCTAGGATACCAAAAAGCAGCCAAAAATCCTTCTTCAGGCAGACAAAAATCTTCCTAGATGGTCAGAACTACACGGCAGTCAGCAATCTTTCCAGAACTAAACGGCAGCCAGAAAACTTATCTTCAATCTTTCGCTTAAAAGAGGTCCTCAAGTGCTGCTTCTATATCTCTTTTCTCATTTGCTTCTGCCTTCTTCTAGTGACTTACAATTTAAAGTTGTTTCACTAGACTTTGCTTGGCTTTTTTCTTGTTCAGTGCATCAACGCCAGATTGCACCTGTTCTGTTCGGCAGATTACACCTGTTTTGTTTGTGGTGAGACTTACGCCTCAAAACGTTTTGAGGCTTACGTCTCGCCTCATGACAAAAAAAGGCCTCAGTACCCGTTTACGTTTTTTCAAACTATGGGTGAGATGGTGGAGGAAATAGTGGAGTTGTCCATTATATCGGTAATAGGACTCACGGCACCTAAAACCATGAAGCTGCGTGGTGCCATTTTGGGGGAACCAATCATGGTGCTCATTGATTGCGGGGCTACCCACAACTTTATTTCATCTGGGCTAGTTCATAAGCTGGAGCTGAGAGTCACGGAGTCGGCCAGTTATGGGGTCGTGATGGGTACTGGGTTGTCAGTAAAAGGTGGTGGTATCTGTAACGGAGTGGTGGTAACGCTGCCAGATATCGAGGTAGTAGAAGACTTTTTGCCTTTAAAATTGGGGGGTACTGATGTGATTCTCAGGAGGAAGTGGTTGGAGACACTGGGTAAGATGCAAGTGAATTGGGGTACTCTAACTATGCGTTTCAAGGTTGGAGGAGACACGATTGTGTTACAAGGCGACCCCAGTCTGGATAAGACACAGGTGTTGCTGAAATCATTGGTTGGAACGTATAAGGAGGGCGAACAGGATATTTTGCTGGAGTTAGGAAGTCTGGGTGTGGAGCAGGAAACACCAGCGACTGAAGTTCACAGCTTAATAACAGAATTATTGAGTAATCATCAAGGTGTCTTTGAGTGGCCCAATGAACTGCCTCCTCGAAGAGCTCGTGATCACACAATTCTACTACAACCAGGGACTGCTCCTATGAACGTCAGACCATATCGGTACCCGTATGTTCAGAAGAATGAGATCGAAAAATTGGTCAAAGAGATGCTGGCTGCAGGAATTATTCAGCCAAGTCAAGGTCCATTTTCAAGTTCGATTTTGTTGGTGAAGAAGGATGGAAGCTGGAGATTTTGCGTCGATTATCGAGCACTAAACAAAGCTACGGTGTCGGACCGCTTCCCAATTCCTGTGATAGATGAATTGCTGGATAAGTTACATGGGTCTCAGGTGTTCTCGAAGCTAGATTTAAAATCCGGTTACCATCAAATTAGTCAACCCTAGAGACATTCCAAAGACGGCTTTTCGCACACATGAGGGTCACTATGAATTCCTGGTCATGCCTTTTGGATTATCAAACGCTCCAGCAACTTTCCAGCATTTGATGAACGAAGTGTTTCGACCCTATTTGCGGAAGTTTGTCCTTGTTTTCTTCGATGATATTTTGGTTTACAGTCAGACGCTTGAGGAGCACCTACGACATTTGGGGGTAGCGCTGGAAGAACTGAGTAAGCATCGGTTGTATACCAATAAAAAGACATGTCAGCTGGCCAAGCTGAAGTAGAGTACCTCGGCCACGTGATTTCTGAAAAAGGGGTAGCAGCTGATCAGTCAAAAATTGTAGCCATGATCAATTGGTCGAGCCCGAGGACTCTTAAAGAGCTTAGGAGATTCCTAGGACTCATAGGGTATTATAGACGATTTGTATTTGGATATGCCAAGGTAGCATGGGGAGACCGAAACAGCATTTCAGAACCTCAAGGCTGCCATGGTCAATGTTCCAGTGCTGGCACTGCCCGATTTTTCTAAACAGATCGTGGTTGAAACTGATACTTCAGGGCATGGTTTAGGAGCAGTTCTAATGCAGGACCGCCATCTAGTTGCATTCTTTAGCAAGGTGTTACCCCAGAGCGTTAGAAAAAAATTAGTGTATGAGCGGGAATTAATGGATGTGGTGTTGGCTGTACAAAAATGGCGTCATTACTTGCTGGGCATACATTTTATTGTTCGAATCGATCAACGGAGTTTGAAGTTCTTATTGGAGCAGCGTTTAGTGAGTGAAGACCATCAGAAATGGCTCACCAAGCTTATGGGGTATCAATTTGACATCCAGTATCAACCAGGATTGGAGAACAAGGCTGCTGATGCCCTGTCCAGAATCCAGCCAGCCTTAAATTCCTCTAACCATCCCCAAAGTGGTACAATTGGATGATAATAAGAATGAGGTCGCTGCAGATGTGGTACTGGGTAAGTTGGTGAGTGACTTACATGAAGGACTTTCTGTTCAGGCGGGTTATACACTGTTGGATGGGATTTTATGTTACCATGGGAGAGTGGTTTTGCCCAACAACTCGTGTTTTGTTACCTTAATGCTACAGGAGTGCCATGATACAATGGTTGGGGGCCGCTCCGAATTTCTTAAAACTTATAAACGTGTAGCCAGAGAAGTATTTTGGCACAGAATGAGGGCTGCGGTGAAGAGTTATGTGGCAAAGTGTGCTATCTGTCAGCAAAATAAGTATGCGGCTTTATCTCTGACGGGCCTCTTGCAGCCTTTACCAATTCCAGCGTTAGTCTGGGAGGACATTTCTATGGATTTTATTGAGGGGTTACCACGGTCAGGAGGGGTGGATACTATTTTGGTGGTTGTGGACCGACTGAGCAAATATGGGCATTTTATCGGGCTAAAACATCCTTTTACCACTCCCATAGTTGCTGAGGTGTTCATTCGCGAGGTGGTGAGGCTCCATGGCATGCCTCATTCTATTATATCAGACAGAGACATAATCTTTATGAGTTCGTTTTGGACTGCGCTATTTAAAGCTCAGGGAACCGCCTTTAAACATAGCCCCGCGTATCATCCCCAAACCGATGGACAGACGGAAGTTGTAAACAGATGTTTAGAAACTTACATGCGGTGTTTTGTATCAAGTAGACCTTGGGTGTGGAGCCAATATTTACACTGGGCTGAGTTTTGGTACAATACTTCCTTCCATACAGCTACCAAGCATACTCCTTTCCAGATTGTATATGGTCGTGAGCCACCGCAAATTCTCTCCTTTGAGAAGGGAATGGCAGTTAACTCGTCGGTTGAGCAACTCTTGATTGGGATGAGGTTTTAAAGGAACTGAGGGTGCAACTGCTTAGAGCGCAGACTAGAATTAAGGAAATAGCTGATGGACATCGGCGTGACATCCAGTTTGAGGTGGGGGATTTAGTCTATCTCAAGCTCCGTCCGTTCCGCCAGAAATCTGTAGCAAAAAGGTCCTTTGAGAAGCTGTCCCCGAGGTATTTCGGTCCGTTCGAAGTAGAGTCAAGAGTTGGGCAGGTGGCGTACAGATTGAAACTTCCACCTACAGCTGTTATTCACCCAGTTTTCCATGTCTCTCAGCTTCGTAAAGCCCTTGGGATCCACAGCCAGTTTCAAGTTTTCCCCCGCATCTGTCTGCTAATGGGGAGTTCATTTTGGAACCAGAATCTGTCCTTGACATCCGCCCTAGTCTTCACACCACAGCTGCAGGGCAGATGTTCTGATTAAATGGAAGAGTTTGCCGGAGTTTGAAGCTACATGGGAACCTTTTGAAGCCATCAGACTGCAGTTACCTAATTTTTCCCTTGAGGACAAGGTGGATTTCGGGGCGGCGGGTAATGATAGGCCCCCAATCCGGTTCACTTATGCACGAAGGAAGAAAGGGCTACCAGTTCCTTAGCTGTCGTTAGTTGGGGGGGTAAAATAGTAAAATGTTGGAGGGAAATGTAAATAAAAGGGGAGGGAAGGAAAATGAAATGATCATCGAATTCACTCAGTTAGTTGGATAAGTGGGGAGAGACCGGGCCTCACTAATAGCCTGGGAATCTGTTATCAATTCTAGATCATCAGTTCATCATCAATAAATCATCTCTTATTCGTGTTCCACTTTTTCCCTCATTAATCACAGTCTAGTTGTTTCCTAAGTTTCCTTTCTATAACAGAGACTGAATTCATCCTTTATCCACAGGTTACTAAACTGCATTTGGGTTTCAACTACAGCAGGTACTACAGAAAAGGGAGATCAGCTGGTAAGTCCTATCAGTGACATGGGCTGTTGACGGGGGAGAGCGGTTGACGTTGGCAAGAAGATAGTTTTTCTTTACTTCAAACCGAGGGATAATTATTTTCTCAACCAAACTCACCAAGTGATTTTTTTATCAGTCTTGGACTGTATCCGTAGTTTAGGACTCACTACATAAATTTCCGGTGTTGCCAAGAAATAATGAATACTAATCACCTGAAGAACAGACAGTGACTGTAGTTTTCCCTATCAAAATATAGCACAAAGCCAAACAATCATACTTGCTCTTGCAAAGAAAAGAAGACCCTCTCAGACTCAGTTACCTTTCTCAAATCATATCGGTTGATTTTGTCAAAAGCAGTTGAAAATAAGAAGTGAGAATGAGAAACTTACCTGAATACACAAAGAAATTATATCAGCAAGCCGAGATAAAGACTTTGAAGGATAAGCGCCATTTAGAGAATGATCAACCATTCTAGATAACGCATCTATATCATGAAGCCGTGGAATTGCCCATCTAACGAGATATTGCTCTCCACGGGGGCGCAACCTGTGTTTGTGCGTATTAGTTAGTTTCTTCTAACCTATAGTCGAGTCAGCAAATAATTTTATTTTTTCCAAAAAATTAGCTGAGAAGAAGCAGTTTCAACTTATCAGACATGATATTTTCACAAATATTCTAACCTGTCATAAGATTTTCGCCCAGTTAGAAGTTCTAACATCACAATTCCAAAGCTGTAGACATCGCTCTGGTAGGTATAGCTTCCTAATTCAAGTTCTGGAGCCCCATAACCATGACCTTGCAACTAATGTATATACAGTCAATAAATGTTCAAGTAGATTGAGCAAATGTATGGATTTTATAGCAGGTGCATAATCCAAGAAGCTCTGGATACCACAATACTAAAATTTTTTTTGCTTCTATTAACATTAGTAGCATATGATAAATTTAAATCTTTAATAAAATTCAGCACCAAACATCTGATATCCCCTTTCCAGCCAAAATTATTGGAAGGTGCTTAGCAAGGAGTTCTTTGTTTTCCCTTTTATTATGGACAATAATGAGTAACATTCTATAAGATGAAGTATGACTAAACCAACCAAAAACGTGTGAATAGATATCAATGAATTAACAAATCTAATTCAGAGATATTAAGTCGAGACTTTACCTGATTCATGGAATCAGATGGCAGCAGCGGAGCCAATCCACAATCAGAAACTCGCACAGTAAGCCCATCATCTAGGAGAATATTAGCTGACTTGAAGTTCTGGTGCACAATAGGTGGGTGACACGTCTCATGCAAATACCTTTCAGAAAACAGTAAGACTCAGTCTCTAAAAGCTTTGAAGTTCAAGGAATGGACAACGAAACNTTTATTAGTTATTTATTTTGAATTTTTTTTTTTTTTTTTTTTTAAGTATAACTTACATTTCTGTAAAAAAGGGCAAAAAAAGTAACTTATTTCCAACTCTGACTAATATAAAGTTTATTTATTTATTAAATATGAGAACACTTTTGAAGCTTAGCCATACATGCTCTTACTTATCACACAAACTATGTTCATTTTGGTCAATATGCTGAGTTCATCAATCAACATACTCCAGGGCTCTTGCAGCTTGAAGTGCCAAATGCATCCGAGCATTCCATGAAAGCTTTTTATTGATCTCATCATCCAAGTGTAGTGCTTCATAGAGCGTCCCAATTCTGCAATAGTCATACACAAGCAGAAGTTGTCCATGCTCCAGACAGTAACCTACGAGTTCCAGTATATTTGTATGTTGAAGTTTAGAGATATTTGACACTAGCTCGAGGAATTTTCGATCACTCAAATGCCTAGAAGCCATTGTGTTCAATTTTTTGACAGCCAGGACCTGGACATGAGTAAAGCAATATCAGGGACTTGAGACAACTTTTGCAACATACCATGACAATGTAGTACACAAATATTTTCACACTAGTCCTGTTATCAAAAATTTGATAATCTGGTCCATGACAATGACTGATATAAAGTTTTATCTCATCCAACCATCATTAGCAATACCTGTACTTATATCTAAATTTCAATTCACCAACCAAAAATATTGAAGTACAAAGTAAAATCTAAATCGCATGACATGAACCCAAGATTGTAAAAGTGCTACTCAATCAAGTCATTGAATAATCTTGTCAAAGTAAATAATCATCTTATGACAATTGATTAAAACTAGAAAACAAGAATGACTGCAGTAAAAAGAAATAAATTCCACTCCCTTAGCAGGAAGCCTGTTAAATCAGAAGATGACTACCTTTCCTCCAGGAAGCTCAGCTTTGTAAACTGTTCCAAGCGTGCCTTCTCCAATTAAATTTTCTGGAGAAAAGCTCTTCGTATACTGTTGAAGAGATGCAATGCTAAAGAACTTAACAGAGTCAACACGATTAGAAGCATGTTCCCTTGAGGTTAATGAAGAAAAAATTGGATCTGCAGCAATTCTTTCAGCAGGGAGAAGAGGAAGAGGATGTGCACGTGGAGGTAGCTGCGTATAATCCAAACTTGTTATATCTGTACTGTGATCTTTTTTCTGATTTAGCACTGCAGTCTTTCTTTTACTACCTCCAAAAGATTGCTGCAAATCCCCTTCTTTTGGTTCTGCTCACGGGCCTCAAAAGATCATTCATTGAAGTAAAAAGGAAATAATAACTCAAAAAAATCGTATAATGGCAACAAGCATAAGCAACAATTGTATAGAAAGCATGAATTCACCTCTCTCTACATGGTAACGAGGCTTTGGCAGATACTGGTCTTGTCTGCTAGTCTGATGGAGGATGCCAAGTGCTCCCATTTCATACTTTTTTGAGTTTTTCTCTTTTAATTTCCTCCTTTTACAACATTTGAACATGAGAACACATAGCCCCAAAGCTAGTAATACAACTGCCAACAATCCAGCAACAGAAATCCACGGAACACTTTTTGTTGTACTTTTCTTTCCTTCCCTTTCAAATTGTGGTAAGTGGGATGCTGATGGTCCATTTGCTCGTTTTGTAGGAGCCAGATGAGGAGAAGGTGCCATAGAAGGGGGAAATGAAGGAGGTGATGCTGGTGAAGGTATTATTGTAGTGTTAAAGGGGTTACCTCCTCGACTGCACCACAAATTGAAAATTTTACAAAGGCTAGACCATAATTCAAAAGGCAGAGAATATGTGCCATAAGTTCCAAATGGAAAGGCATAGCTAAATGAAAAAGAAATTAACTCTTATGTTTCACCTGAAATCAGGAATACTGAGCAACTTCTCGGGTATAGGTCCAGAAAACAGATTATTTTCTATGTTCCTATAGAGCAAAGAAAAGCGAGTCAGACTATCTAACAATAAATTGAGGCAAAAGGAAATTTTCAAACTATCAAATTTCACTTATAAATATAAGTACAAAGCTCTGAGGGGAAGATCTTGAAGAACATCCAGGGTTCCAGTAAGCCGATTGTTCTGCAAATGCCTGCAACCAAGAGAAATTATTACATTAAAAAGGAAAATATCATATTTTTGAAGAGATGCGAAGACGTACATATCCCTGATTGTGAAGTAAGTTTGCAAGTTATGCAATGTTATTTCACAGGACAAAAGATTGACCAGGTATCATCAATTTTTCCAAATTAATACAAGATTTCGCCAGCAGAATATCATGAGTTTATCAGTTTATGGTCCAGTTTTACCATATGCATTCAATTTCGAGTACCATTCTTTCTAAGTAAACAACAATGTAAACTATCAATTGCCATAAAACTTTCCCAAGCCAAAATAATCGACATTAATAGCAAGAAAATATGGTGGTAATAAGAAATATGCAAATAGTTCACTTTTCATCCATATTGCCCTTTCAAAATAGATTAACATTATACAAATAAGCTTGCGCAAAAAGAGGTTTTTTCTTCTAAAACCCTAATCTAACTCAATGGTTCGTTAGTAGCAAAAGTTCATCATGGGAACATTTAGTAATTTGTCTCACATATTATCCAACACATGCAATTTCTTACAGCGTGGTAAGAGATGACAAAATTCCCATTGAAGGAGGCAGCTGACCAGACAAACTGTTTCCTGACAAATCCCTGCATTGTCATTTTCATTTAAGTAAACAAATATTCTTCAATCAAATTTATGGGAGATACCGATTACCGCGGAATCTTAATAGAATGCTTACACGTTGATCAAACCCTTGAGCTGTTGAAAGGCATCTGGAATTGCTCCAGTTAAATTATTGTTGTTCAGAGACCTGAGAAGGATAAGGGTTAAAAAATCAGTAGACAATCATGGCATTGTTTGGTACAGAGAATTAGATAGTACTGGACATTATTAAACAAGAAAAATAAGCTAAAATCTGATTTATTATAATTTCCAGTTATACGGTACTTTGTACCAAACATGCACAAATGGTCTCATTGTACAAATCAGTGACAGGAAAACCGGGCAGGCATAAGATAATGATACTAAACAGAACTTACAAATCAGTCAGTTGGTCCAAGGAGGATAGATTATATGGGATGCTTCCACTGAGCTGATTACCTGAGAGAAAACTAGCGTGTGTGGTTTTGAGGGAGGGACGGGGCATTATCAGACATTACAAAATCAAAATATTCGGTCTTGAACCTCCTAAAAACAGTCAATAAAGTTTGATTAAATCAGCTAAGTAGTTCGTGGAAGCCAGTCAAGGCCGAAAAAACGTACAAGCTCCTCATAGTGATAGGCAAGTTGGATGGTATGCTGCCCCCAATATGGTTGTTGCTTAGATCTCTGCTTTTAGGAAGATAAAAGTTTTTGTGAGGCTCCAATTAGAAAATAATTGCCAATTAGAACAAAACATCATTCAGGGAGTAATTGAACATGATGAACTTAATTGACAGATGCACTTACATTTGTAAAATCGAGGAAAACGATCCCAAGTCTTCACTGAGTTCACCTCCCAAATTTGCGCCATTTAAAATGCTATCAATAACAGAACACATAAATTCAATCCAAAAGGCCAGAAAATCATCACGTCCAGTAATGAAACAGCAAGAAGATATCGTACATAGAGGTTATGTTGGAATTGACACACAGTACTCCTTGCCAATTCAGTCCGCAAGGGTCACCCCCAAAGGGAATCCAATTAGGAAGGGGAGGGAAGCCCAGAGAAGCATATAAACTGTTTATTGCAAAAACTAACAGAAAACCAAAGAAACAAAAAAAGATTAATGTTATATATATTGCCTTTTATCACATAAGACACCATTTACAACACACATTGAATGTGTGAAATAAAGAGTATAAAGAAAGGTTTTTCATGCTTTACCATCACGAGGGTCAGTGAAACCCGAAACATATGGCTCTGCAAAGATCACCAAAAACACAACACAAGAGCGAATCTTCCAATCGAAACAGCCCATCATCAGTTATGGCCGCCCAAAAACTCAAAATTTGTTCTTTTTGTTCTCCCTTTCCTTTTTCGTAACAAAACAGTCAGCAGAATCCTTCAAGAACCTGAAATTTAAAGCGAATCAGAGAATCAAACAAAGCCAGCAATTTGAAAACAAATCTTTCTTGAATTCACTCAAATTAAAAACAAAAGCCTACATGACCCCAAAAAAAAATTCAAAACTGCGAAGCGGAAGAATACATGTACGACACTTCATTAAAGCTAGTCAAGCACAAAAACCCATGTCAGTGGAAAATTCAAAAGGCATAAAGACCTCACCTTTTCTCAATAACATAGCAAAAATTTAACAAAAACAAGCAATGAAACAACTTACAGAATAAATGAAAATGAAGCTCAAACAGTCAAACTGTAGAGGGTATAAAAAGTGGCTTGCTCTGTTTCCTGCTATTTTTTCTTCAAAAAGTGGTAAAGACAATACTAACAGTAGTTAAAAGTTTAATTGTCTGCAAGTATATTTTCTGTATGTATATCTTTACCGGATAATTATGCCGTAATTCTTGTGTAATTGTATTTTTTAAATTTAATTTGAGAACCGTTGAGCTATGATGTGACGCGTCAAATTTTTGGGCTCCGACTCCGTTGAAAATCAAGACCCCGACCCCTAATTATTTCATTAGTGGTTTTTCAATTCTCCGTTTTATGGGGGTTGTTTGATACTTATCAAATCAATTCTCATTTTTAACTACACATGTTTCAATAAAATAATATTTTTCATCACATCAATATTTTTTTTCTTCTTTTTCAACCACACATTTATCATCATATCACTATTCAAAAATCAATTCTTCCCCCAAAAATCCCTACCAAACATGCTCTTAGTATGTATTCAATGTTAATTATCACAATTATTTGTCCAAGTAAAACAAGGCTTCCACGCAGGAAATAAATCAATTCTCATTTTCAATCACACATTCTTCAATAAAATAATATTTTCCATCACATCAATACTTTTTTCTTCTTTTTCAACCACACATTTCCCATCATATCACTATTCAAAAATCAATTCTTCCCCTAAAAATTCCTACCAAACAATCTCTATATAACATTTCATTAGTGTGTGTTTGAATCTAATTTTGAGGAGAATAGAAATTTTGGAATAGTGATTGATGTGAGAGTGTGTGGTGAAAAAGTGATGAAAAGTTTTTGATTTGTGTGTAATATTATTTTTTTTTTGAGAATGTGTGGTTAAAATGAAAAATGAAAATAAGAATCAGAAATTAATGGATGTCAACAAATTAGTGTGAATTGATTTCGCCAGTTTGGCTCTCATTAAAATTATGGTGTGTTTGAGCCACATTATTTTAAAAGAATTTATTATGGAATAGTAAATTGATGGAGAGTGTGTGGTTGAAAATGAAAGAAGAGTTATTGATGTGATGGAAAATATTATTTTATTGAAAAATATGGGGTTGAAAATGAGTAGAAGAATGAGAATGAAAAAAATAATGGGTACCAAACAGGGGCTAAATTAAAATTTTCTACTTTCTATTTTCAACCCTACAATCTTTCATAAAATAACATTACACATAAATCGAAAATTTTTATTTCTTTTTCAACCACTCATTCTTAAAAAAAAAATATTATTCCATACATTAAAATTTGAAAAAATGGATGCCAAACAAGGCTTATTAAAACAGGGATATTTTGTGGGGATTAAAATTAGATTTTTAGTAGATTTTGATAGAAGTTTCTGAAATGTGTGATTGAAAAGTTGTAGGACCCATAAAAAATATGGTTAATATTGATTGTTTGACTTTGACTTAAATTAAAATCAAATTTTAATCCGGACCAAACAGAGGCATATATATCTTTAGAATTTAGTAGTAATTTAAATTTTCGTAATTGAGTATTAAGCCCTGTTTGGTGAGAATTAAAATTATTTTTTTTAAATAAATTTTGATAAAAATCGATGAAATGTATGGTTGAAAAGTTGTGGATTCAATAAAATGTACGATTAAAATTAATTGTTAACTTTAGTTTATATTAAAATTGTAATTTTAATTTCTGCAAAACAGCTAAATGTAGTATTTGACTATTTTCAGTGTGGAATATCTATAAGAAAGATTTTTATATTTATCTTGAGGATTTTTATTTGAAATTTTTAAACATTTATGAAGTTGGAATTGCTTTATGAAATTAGGGTGCGTTTGATTGCAGTGGTGAAAAATGAGTGGAAAGAAAATAATTTGTAGGAAAAATAATTGCCTAGAAAATATTTTATAGGAAATTGTTAATTAAGTGTATTTGATTGGTATAATTTTCCACTCGAAAAATTTTTAAATTTTCTATTCGTTTGACTTTGTTTTATATGGAACGTGTTTATTAAAGTGATAATTTTTTTTCCAGAATTGGTTATAAAATTTGTTTCCATTGTCAGAAAGTAAAAAAAAAGGGGGAGGGGAATTGTTTCCTAAAAAATCATTTTTTATCAAAATTTAGTATTCGTTTGATTTTGTTTTATATGAAAATTGTCCCTTAAAATAAAAAAAAAATTTTACCATTGGTTATGACATTTGTTTTCATTGCAAAAAAAAAAAAATTTGCAGCCAGCCTGAAAAAAATTTTCTCACCAAAAAGATGGGAAAAAATTTTGCCTATCAAACAGCCAAAAAAGTGGAAAGTGGAAAATATTTTCCTAATTCCCTAGAAAACAACGCCTATCAAATGAGGCCTTAGATTCGACAAATTTGAATTTGAAATTGAAAGTCAAATTCACTAATCAAGTTATTTATGTGTTCACTCGATAAATAGTCATTAATAGGGAGTTATAAACGTTGAGATAAATAATTTTATTAGGTTATTGATAAATTATGTTGTAAAACTATAAGATAAATATTATGATTAAGTGGTCTTATCATCGTGTATAGATAAGTTTTATTTAATTTAGAAAGTTTATTTTATTCAAATTGTAACTTTCATTTTGAACCCTATAGATATGGGTCTTGATTATCAATAAAATACACATTTGAATTTTGAATTTCTATTTTTCTCTCTATTGATTCTCTATATTTCTCTTTTATTCTTTTAATTTTATAATATATTATCAGTACGAACACTTATTTAATTATTATGTCAAACTATCTGCGTCCTTCTCTGCACTCAAATTTTTCTTGTAATTTGCAATTCCACGAATACCCCCCTTGTATTAATTAAACAAACCATAAATGATTAATCTACTTCTACAAAAGTGGATTTACAAAATGATGTGGCAAAATCTATAGTGTTGATTTCAAAAAGTGTTTTTTAAAATCATTGATTGACAAGATGTCACATCACATTTTATAAACTATCATTTAATGTTATTCATCCCCACTGGGTTGAGCCCGGTCCATATGACAATTACTTGCCATTAAATAATAGACTCTATTAAATGAGTCATGTAACTTGTATTTAAATAAATCTATCATTTAATATCATGTAATTAACACATGGACTGTGACTCAACCCCAGTGAGAATGAATAACATTACTCTTTTTGTAATCTATCTTTGTACACATAGCATGACTCAACTAGAAATGATTTACCTTCGGTGATGTTGACTGCATAAAATTTTAGTACCCGTGATCATACCTTTTTGTAATAATTGTTTTTCCTTTTCGATCAACGTGCAATTTTGATAATTGATGATGCAATTTGTTAATTTCATAACTATGCATTATGTGCATAATGATTTATTTTCACGCTGCAAATTTGTCTATATAGGATGTGTTTGAGCCACATTATTTTGAAAGAATGTATTTTGGAATAGTAGATTGATGGAAAATGTGTGGTTGAAAAAGAAGGAAAAAATTATTGATGTAATGGAAAATATTATTTTATTGAAAAATGTGTGGTTGAAAATAAGTAGAAGAATAAAAATGAAAATTTTAATTTGGCTCAAACAGGGGCATAATATGATTTCTTTTCATGCTTTATTAATATAATCATATCATGCCATATTTTTAATTCATGTTGTGATTTAACTTATGTATGATAATTAATATTTAGTTTGATTAAATATTTTTAAATATACTCTTATAAATTTTAAATTAATAATTTATCATATTATTATTCTTGAACTAGCACAATATTATAATTAATATTCCAGAAGAATATTACTTGTAGATCTATCTACGAATAGTTTGTTATCGTTCCTGAAGTAACACGATATTATAATTAATGTTTCAGAAAAATATTATATTTATTGCTCTTGAAAAACAGATCTTTATACACAGAAATATCTTATAATGATAATTTATCAATGCTCTTGAAGAAGCAAAACTCGCCAAATATTAATATATGCTAGATAACAGTCCTGTAGAGTTAATATTTCTAAATAATTGTTTATTGATGTTTCTGAAGTAGCACACTATTATTGACAAATATGAAATATTCTAGTTAAATTTTACTTGTTCACGAAGAGCATAGTTAAATATGATCTAACGTAAATTATATTTTTATTCCTAAAAAGTAAATTCATTGTATAATTTATTATAACAATATTTGATTGCTCTTAAAAATTGTGAATTATAATTTTTAATATTTCAAAAGAATATCGACATATTATTTTTGAATGAGCAATAATAAATATAATGTGCTCTCGAACTAGCATATGTTTCGAAAAATGTACCATTTTGAATTCATGATTAACCCTGAAAGAAAGCATATAACTAATGTAATGAGAACATTGATTAGTTTGACTACTTGAATGATATATAATTATATAACGTTTAATCGTATTTTTCGAGAATAAATAATTGAATTATATCTCATATTGAACAAGACATTGAATTGAATTTTATTGGTTGGCATGATCGGTTGGATTATCACTGGATCAATAATGATGTGATGAGAATTTGAGCATTCAATGATGAGTTGAAGATTCTTCAATCCAATAAACTCTTATATAATACTTGTTCTCTTTATTGAAAATTGATCATCACTAGCTAAAATAAGGATTCAATTTCTTATATTTCTGAAAATTAATTAGAGCAATAAATGGGGCTCCATCACCCTTCACATTGACCATCTAGATATTATTTGTATTTAATAGATTTGATACATATATTAGATGATTGCATGGTGTTCGCAACCTGAAATTTGAGAAAGTACTGCTCAAATTTAGTGTGTTTTGCTAATGTTAATGATCCTAAATCTCAATATTTTAATAAGTGTTAATTGAGATGTTGGTAAATAGTTTAACACTATTGTTTTTTTAAACGCTTTTAAATAATATAATTGAAAACAAAGTACTTCCCATTTTTGTGTAGGGAATGCTATTACGCATCATACCGATATTATGGTTCACCCTGTTATAAACTAACGGTCAAAGCCTAATTTGTCCATCCGATTATTTTGATGGTGCAGTAAATGCAAAATTAATCCACCACAATGCACTGAGAAAGAAAGTAAAAAATGCTGAGAATAAATAAGTAGTTTAAACATTTATACACTATCTCAAGCCCTAACGAGTGATATTTTATAAAGCGATTTGTTGATTGTCAATTTGGTTGGACAATTCTCTTAACGTTGGGGGGAGGAATTAAGAAGTAAAAAATAATGTACAAATAGATCATTATCTAAATCATCGTAAAAGATAATTCAAATAAGAAGTTCGAATGATGAATCACTTATATGCATTTACTGATCAAAGAGATAAATAATGTCTAATATACCAGCTTTAAATACTCCAACATGAATTGATATCTTCGGAGGACAATTCATTAGCGTTTTATTTGATATATCTAGGGCACACTAGAAGTATGATGATATTTGATTCTAATACAAAAGTCTTTAAACAAAAATGAAGAAATTGACAAATATGGCCCCATTAAAGAAGCATACATTCCTGATGAGTATTTAGACATAACAAATTATAAAATTCCAGAAAATGTTTAGGTACCCGATATGTTGAAAATTGAGACATTTCAATAAGTTATGTTAAGAACTAGAATCGAAAAATAAAAATTCTCGATAACACTTTTGCACATGATGTATTGCATTATATAGTGATGAATCAAAATAAATGCATCGAAATATATCGATCAAAGTATTAATTGGTCAAATAGAAAGGACGCACCCTAAATTGATTACTAGAGAAATTTGAAGTTCCTGGATCTACAGTCAAAACATCTAAGGGTGTATACTTATGCGAAATGAATATAAAAAAGTAAAGTCGTAATGTGAAATTTACCACTCTTTACATAATGAATTTAAGTTATCATGTGGAGAGTGTAATCACAAATCTCTATTTTATTAGTCTGACAATGCATGAAATTTGATAAACTCATCGGTATGGCTATTAATGTCACCTTGAAAGATTTACACCCAGTTTGAGCCACATTTTTTTGAGAATATATTTTTTCAAAATTCATTTCAGCCACACATTATTCCATAAAATAATTATACACACATTTTTAAAAAAAAAAATCTTACTTTTTAACCACACATTCTCAAAAAAATTAATATTTCATAATACATTTTACCCTCAAAATGGGGATCAAACATGAGCTTAATATGCTTGAAGTATGTAATTCAAGTGATACTATTATGAGGGGGAGAATACGCGTAATCTTTTTTCCTTAATCAAAGTTTCGTCCCATTGAATTTTTCTAACAAGGTTTTTAACAAAACAACTTTTGTAGTGTACTAAAAAGAATAATGTAATCTTTTTCCTTCATTTGAATTTTTCCCATAGGATTTTTCTAATAAGGTTTTAACGAGACACATTTTGTATAATAAATTTTCATAACATACAAGACATTTACCCTCAAAATAATATTTTTATATGTATGAGATTTTCGAAGAGATCAATAAGAGCTATTTTCAAATCATCATATTACTACAATCATCAAAGATCGATAAATGCTTCACACGAATACGATGTTACTTGAAGACTATACAGACAGTACGAGACATACTTCACCAGAAATTGAAATATTGAAGACATTGACATAGAAGACAAAGATCGCTTGGTACAAGAATTTTCACTTGTTTGAAATCGTGAGAGTAGTTGTACATTTTTTCCTTTGATCAAGTTTGTCCCACTGAATTTTTTTAACAAAGTTTCCATGAGACAACATTTTATTACTCCAAATTATTTGTACTCTTTTTTTATTTGTTGGTATTTTTAACCATCTGGTTTTGGCCAAACAAGATTTCAATGAGATAGTTTTTATGCAAATAATTATCAAATAGAGAGTGTTGTAAAACTATAAGATAAATCTTGATGATTATGTAGTCTTCTCATCATGTATTGATTAATCTTATCTAGTTTAGAGAGTGTATTTCATTCGAATTGTAACTCTCATTTTGAACCCTATAAATACGGATCTTGATTATCAATAAAATATACACTTGAGTTTTGATTCTCTATTTTTTTCTTTATTTATTCTCTATATTTCTCTTTTATTCATTTAATTTTATAACAAATCAAACCTTCTGAATTTTAAATTTTCTCAAATTTTTATTTTGTCAAATGTCGGAATTTCAACTTAGCAAAAATCTAAAATCTTGTTTTAAATCGAAATCCTAAAGAGATGTATAACATTAGCTTTTAATACGTTGGTAGCATTCCAAAATTTTATGCGATTAATGAATTTTTCTTGGCTTTTAGGATTTCTTCGTGAAATTTTAAAGATTGTAATAAAGTAATAGGGTTGAAAAAAGTGACAGTGAAACTTTTGAGAAAAAATGATAATTACAAGAACTGCCCTGAAAATTTAAATAAGATATTTATCATAATTACAGCTAAGTCCCTAGAGAATAATTTTATAGGAATGACGAGTTATTCATTTTCAAGGGTTATAAATTCTCTCGGAAGCAGATTGATTGGCTAGGAAAAGTAACTTCCCTTTATATAGCGTTTCAACTATTTTTAGATGAGTAAAATTAGTGAAAGACCATAGAAGAAATCATATCCAAAGCACGAAAATGAGACATTGGTGATCCATGACTCTACGAGTCGCCCCGCATGTGCCTCTTCTCCCCTTTGAGGTGGAGGTTCGACCCTTATGCTCAGATAGGTTGCAGAGTCTGCATGAAAACGTGCATAATTTTTCGTAGAAAGGTCCGGATCGAGATTCATAAAATGCGTTGAATTTTTTACTCGACAAGATTCTCAATGGTATATTATATGCCTCCTGAAGAACCCTACATCAATCTTGACACTCTAGTTTCTTCGTATATTCTACATGTTGGTTCCTTGGTGTCCACGCCCACTATCGTGTTTCACCTCAGAACTTCATTTTTGGTAATTTTAGCCCCCTTTGACCTTTAAGTTGATATCGAGACTTAATATGGTCATTTTTAACATATGAGAGCACTTTATTTATGTAGATGCTAACACAGATATGAAATTTAGAGAAAGGAAGCCATTAGTGCAAGACCATGCAAGGATAGGAGTAAGTAAAATTTCAACTATAATCCAAAAGAATCATGCTACATGTTCATTTTCTTTGACAACAAATTCGACATTGAGCCACGTGTCTCGTCATCACTGGACAGTTTTTAAATAAAACACATATTCTTGCTCATTTCAATTTGAATTCAAAGGAATGTAAACCACAATTACAAGAGAATGTACTAGTGATTTTATCCAATCCAAAATAACAGTAATCATATTATGTTGTTCTCCTATGTGATTATGTGAGATGTACTATAGATGTGATCATCGCCCTATGATTGGAGTATTTGAATGATGTTGCTATTGTGTACATGTATGTGTTACTATTATCATGCGGTTGGAACATTTGAGATATGTCCGTTATTAAATGATGCAGTTACACATATCCACGTGCATACATAAACATGAAAGTGAGAGAAGTAACAATGCATAACTCGTAAAGTAAGAGATGATGAAATTTAGAAAATGAAGATTATGAATACTCAAATATGGTATTCGAAATGAAATGATTGTTAACGTAATAAATAGATTAGTTTAAGGGTAGTTTTGTCATTCTATTGTTTACTTGTAAGACTATTTAAAGTCTCTCTTTCTTTGTATTTTCTATCAATTTCACACAATGTAAAACCCTAGCCCCCCTTTCGTTTTCCTCCCTCTCTGCCTTTTGTATTGTTAGTTTTCACATGGTATCAGAGCCAACACAAACCGTACCGATTGTTACCGTGACTGAGAGACTGTGCGGATGGCAGCAGTGGTCTTTTTGGACTGATTTGGAGGGAGAGGTTCCTGGTAATAGTTGTTTTGTTGGAGAGGCGGATGGCGGTTATGGGTATCATAACTGAAGTATTGAGGGAGGATAAATACAGGGTGTTCTTCCGGGGCAGCCGAGAGCAGAGGAACTTTAAGGCTTCCCGGCTGAGGCGCCACCACGAGTGGGCCGTCGGGAAGTGGCTCCCGCCTTTTGAAAAAGGATTCGACGAATCGTCTCCATTGAAGCGGCCAAAGGTTGAGGAAGTTTCAATGTCAACTAAAGTAAAGCCCAAGAAAAACACTACTGACAATAATTTTAGCCCAGGAACAACGATAAAAGTCAATAGTGATGAAGATGGATGTCAAGATGCTTCATTTGCTGCAACTTCTGTCAAAAAATCAGGATTGAAGGTGCTTGGATTCCTGCAACTATTGTCAAAAAATTAGGTAAAAACAAGTACCT